CATTTATTTTCCTTTCTTTTTCTTGTATGTCTTTCCCTCTCGAGCTCTCCCTGCTCTCCCTCTCCCCGTTTTCTCTTTCCCCCCTCACTCCTTTTCTCTCCCGCCCGGCTCTCACCCCTGCTGCACACCACGAAGCCTTAGTGTGTATCGCTCCCATTTCATCCCGGGTAAAGTCTCCGTAGAAGAGAGCGGGGCGTGCGAAGGGACATGAAACTGCCGAGCCGCGTGTGTGTGCGTGTGCGGATGTTAAACACAGGAGTTAAAGGTCTAGAGCCACAAGGGACAACAAAGCGGGGCTCTGGTCCTCTCTCGCGGGCCGAGCAGACACGCGTGGCCAGGGGCGCTTGGGGCGCGGTGCCGGGGCTCCCCGGCCGCCAGGTCCGAAGGCGACGCCCCCCCGCGCCGAGCGCCGCCGGCCCGGCCCTCCTCTCCCCTCTCTTCTCTTTTCCTCTCTCCTCTCCTCTCCTGGCCGCTCTCGGCTCGGCGCGCTGGCGAATCAGAGAGTGTCGGAATCTATTGCCTTTGTCTGACAAGTCATCCATCTCCGGGGAGGCGGGCGGGGGGCTGAGGGCGCTGCGGCTTTTAGAGAGACACACACCGGGAGCGGAGGCTCCAGTCTCCGGCCCCGGCTCCTCGCAAGCACTTCCCACCTCGGGCGAAAGTCCGCCGGGCGCCGGATCCTCCACCCGGCCGAGAGGAGGGGGCGCGCCGCCGCTCGCAGCTTTCCCGGGGATTGCTACTCCGCTTTGAACTTAAATGAACTAGCCCCCGACCGCGGGAGGAGGAGGGAGAGCCGCGTCCTCCTGCGCCTTCTGCCGCCCGGCCGCCAGCCGGCCCTCGCCCCGGCACCCCCTCCCCGCCGCCGGGGATGCTCCGGGCCCCCCCAGCCATGACACCCACCTGCCCCCCGGCGCCGCCAGCCGCCCGCTCCCACGGACTCTGCTGACTCCGCCGGCCGGCCCCAAAGCACCCCGGAAAGTACTTCTCGCCCCACTCCGCCGGGCAGGGGGGCCAGCGCTCCCCAGCGCTCCCATCCTCTCCTCTCCTCTCCTCTCCTTGTGTGTTTTTTGTTGGGTTTTTTTTTTTTGGTTTGTTTGTTTGGTTTGTTTTTTTTTGTTTGGTTTGTTTTTGTTTTTTTTTTCTCCCCTAAGTATTGAAGTTGAGTTTTAGAGGCGACACGGCGGCTTCAGCCGATTTCTTCCCCTTCCTTTGCCTCCCCATGGATATGCACTGCAAGGCAGACCCCTTCTCAGCAATGCACCGTGAGTACTGGAGCCCGGCTCCTTCCGCTGCTTCCCTTTTCTCATCCCTCCATTCTTCCTTCCCCAACCATTCTTTCTCACCTGATCCTCCTCCAGGTCCATCCCTTCACCGCCAACCTCCCCTTCCCTGGCCGAACCCCGGCTTAGAGAGAAGGCAGGACGGGCATTCGCCGGCCAAGCGATGGTGCTGGTCAGCCCGGGCCGGGAGCAGCTCTCCTTGCCGCGCCGTGCCGGGGCAGGGGCCATGGCCGGGACGCCCATCCCGGGCCAGAGAGCTACCTGCTGCTCTCCCCGTGCCGCGGGTGTGCGGAGCCCTCCGAACCAGACCTCTCCTCCGCAGCGGCACTTTCCCCATTGCCCCTCAGCCAACACGAGTTTATTCAGACTCGTGTCAGTCCCCTGGCCGGACCCTGTCGCTGTCCCTGCCCCAGCTGACCAGGGCTTCCCGCAGTCCTGCGCGGCCCTGTACCCCCGGTTACTCCGCGATCCGATGCTATTCACTTTGGTTTCGAGATGCAGTGACAGAGAGGGGAGACGTCAGGTTCAAATTAATGGCGGGTTGGTCGGTGGCGGTTCCGTGCTTTGGTCTGGTTTGGTCTGGTGAAAGGCTGAACTGGGGGAAAAATAGGACAATTGTATGGCTGGGAGATCTGGTGGCTTTGGAGGCTCCCAAGAAGTCACCGTCCCTCCTGGTTTATTTGCCAGATCCCCGGTGTGCATTTTAAACGCATTCCTGGCAGAGAGGGGAGTGCATTCGTGATATATTTTCACTTTAAAGAGCCTTTCTCTAAAAGGGGGACCGAGGAAAGCGAAAAGACGCCTTTGCCAGGGACTGTAACGAGGAATTTTCAGGGACTTTAATTTCATCGCAAGGAGGGAAAATATTTCCGAGATTTAAATTAAAGAAAAAAAATACAAATAGAAAGCCGAGATTGGGAGCGAGCTTCTCGGGTCAGGAAATGAATAATTAAGAGCAATTTGTAACTTTTGACACCGAAACTTTTGAGGACACGCCCTGCCCGCTGCAGCAAACCCAACCGAAAAATGGAAATGCTGGAAGTTTAAAAAATCCCGATTTTTGCTGTGAGAAGGAAGGCGCAGAAACACAAACCCATCCTCAGATCCCCAGACGGGGGTGTAGGCAACTGTCTTCCTGTTTCCAAATGAATGATTTCCAGGATACAATGCTTAAAACGTAGTGTTTAATTTTCCAAGACCTTTACCAGAAAATAGCTTCGTGCATTAGACATGATTTTTAATTTCCAGCGGTGCTACCAGCTTCCAGCCGCGATGGCAGTAATTCTGCCTCCGGTACGATCGGAACATGCAGCCGAGAGAGGCTTCTCACTGCCGCTGCTTTCAAAATAAAACTCCGGTGAGATTCGTGAACAATTTTGGGTTCCGATTAAAAAAAATAGCAACAAAATCAACGTTCGATTTGTTCCATGAAGTGTATTTGTAGAGCAACAGACTGAAATATTAGTGAGCAATTAAAATATACGCAGGCACGAGCTCCTTACACACAGAACACCATCTGTATGGGAGAGGGTGTGTGTGTGTGCAGAGACATCGGCACTCACAGGCATATAAATACACACAAATATCTCGCTGCTCCGATAGAAATAACCTTAGAAAACCACGGGACAGAGCAAAACAAACTCGTGAAAAATATCTGGGCTGCGAGAATGTGAATTATTCATTTTTAATCTTTTTTGCATCTGTTGCTTTTTAATACTTTGTAATGCGAGTTATAAAAGGTGCCTTGAATTATTTATCATGGAGTTGCCGAAGAAATTGCTGTCCTGTAACTTTAGAGGCAACATGTGCAGAAGGGGTTCTGAACAAATGAAGAAAACACACGCCAAAATACACCTGCGGGTTTCAGGACGATAAATATCCCTCCTCCCCACTGAACCCCTAAATATGTTTTAAGAAAGACTAACAAAAGAGTGCAGCGAATAAGCCCTGCTCCTGGGGAAAGGACGCGGAAGGCAGCCGGGGCCCGGCAGAGGCAGCTGGGAGGGTGTATGTGGAGGTGTTACTGCAGGGGTGAGGGAGATGGAAAAAACTCTATTTGTGAGAAAAGGACTTGGATCGATCGCAGGGCAATGAGAGTTTCCACTAAGTTCAGAGCCAATAAGTCAGTGTCAGAAGCAGGGGAGAGAGGAAAAAAAAAAAAAAGAAAATCCCAGGGAAAAAAAAAAAACAACAAACCTTAGCGAAAATACAAACAGACCATTTTTCAGCAAACTGCAAAACGAACAAAGATCTCTTCGCGAGGAAGATGCAGAAGTGCAGAAGGTTAGGGTTGTGTGAAAAGAAATCTTTAATACAGTGTGCGCTCCACAGCTATATCAGCTGGCTCTTCGGATATAGAGACGCGCAGGTAGCAGTGTTAGCGAAGCTGCACCGCCTGCGAGCGAGCATCCATCCATCCATCCATTCATGCATCCCTCCCGCCCGGGCAGGGCGAACCGCTCCCGTCCCTACCGCTGACCGCCCCGGTGGTGGTCCCGCCGAGCCCCCACAGGAGGTATTTCTCTTTATTCCCTCGCTCCGTTCCCCTGCCCGCGCTGAGCAGGTGCACACTTATTTTTTTCCCCCAAGTCATTCCTCGAAATGGAGAAAGATCGGAAAAAGGCGATCATAGCAGTTCTAGATGAGAGAAAGCGGGGTTTTGCCTGGAAAGGGGGAACAGAGGAAAAAGGAGCATTTTTAAAATTCTCTCTGAATTAGGTTTGTGTGAGGGAAAAAAAGAAAAAGAAAAAAGACAGACCAGCACGAGTGTGTTAGAATTATAATTTATTTTTACCGAAGGATTTTTCCTTTCAAGCTCGCAAGCTGGGTGAGGAGAGTGGGGGTCTGTTTGTGAACGAACACCGGCCGCGGGACACAAAATATTTTCTCTCTCCCTCCCACTCTCTACATTTCTTTCCCTTTCTCTTTCTCTCTCTGAATCCCTTCAACTCGCATCCCAAAATAACGGGAGAGGACGCGGTGCTTGGGGGACATGCCGCGGGGTGAGGGAGGGCGGGGTTCGCCAGTAACTCTAATTGACAACGTGATAGAAAATCGTGAAAGAAAATGAAAAGAGAGAGGAAAAGCCCGGGAGCAGAGAGCAGGGGCTGCGGCGGAGCCGCCTGCGCCGCCGAGCAGCAGAGCTCGGGAGTTGGGGCGCACATCTCTCTCCCCAGCCCTTGGGAGAGGAGCCGCAGGGGCGCTCACCCCCCTTGCCTGCCGCTCCGGGCCAAGCAACCGCCGCTCCGGCGGGGGCCACGAGAGGGACACGGGCTCTCCCACCCAGGGAGGGAGGGAGGCGGCGTTCGGCGGACAGTCCCCGGCTTGTGAAATCCACTCTGCCTTCTCTTTCCTTCCCATATTTCCTCCTTTTTTCCCCTTTCTCTCTTGCTCATTCTCCTTTCTTCTTTTTCTTTGCCTTCTCTCTTTACATTTCCTTCTCTTTACGTCTTTCCTTCTCTCTTTCTTGTTCTCGTTATCTATTTCTTCCCTCATTCTCTGTCTCTTATTCTCCCTGTTTTTCCCTCTTCCTTTCTCTTTCTTCCTATTTCTCTTCTTCTCTCTCTCCTCCATGTCCTGTTCCTTCAACCCCCTGCCATTACCCCCATCCATCTGTAGTGGCTGGAGATTTTGCAGTTATGAGTGGTGAAGAGCCCACGACTAACGGTGTGTTTCTGGTGTGCGTGGGTTGTTGTGTTTTTTTTATTTCTCTTTCCCCAGCAGGGCACGGGGGTGTGAACCAGCTCGGGGGGGTGTTTGTGAACGGCAGGCCCCTACCTGACGTGGTGAGACAAAGGATAGTGGAGCTGGCTCACCAGGGGGTGCGACCCTGTGACATTTCCAGGCAGCTGCGGGTCAGCCACGGTTGTGTCAGCAAGATCCTGGGCAGGTAAGGACAGAGGCAGCTCCTTCTCCTCCCCTGGGACGGCAACCGTGCGTCCCTTCCCCGCTCCGCTGTGACCTTCCTCCCCTTCCCGAGCGGCCCCAGCACCTCCGCACCGCTGGAGCCCGGGGCTGAGAAGGGCCCCGGCCTCCAGCAGCCGAGGACGGGCTTCCCCCTCCCCGTTTGTGTTTGGAAACTCTTGGGAAGACAGACAATTTGCGAGTGGTGGGCGGGAGGGCGGAAAAAAGAAAGGGCCGGGGGGGGGGGGGGGGGGGAAGGGGGAGAGAAAAAAAACGAAAGAAGGAAAAAAAAATCCACAACAACAACAAAAATCCACAACTCGCAACAATCCGCTAGCGGCCTTAGCAAACACACGGGTAAATAAACACACAACGGGGCAAATAAATAAATAAACACCCGCGGTAACCGATCGGCGCCAAATGTGGTGTGAAATAATCCGCAGAGCAGGCTGGGGAGGGCTGGCGGCCCGGGCCCTGCGGCCGGGATCCGGAGCCGTGTCAGCAGGCAGCAGAGCCCCGGGCGCTGCGTGCGGCTTCCAAGGGCCGGCCAGAGCCGCGGGCAGAGCTGGTGGACACGGAGAGATAGGCTGCAGCTGCCCGTTACGGGTCACGAGGAGGGCTGGGGATGGATAAACCGTGCTCCCGACTCACAGCCCTGCCAGCGCCCCGAGACGGGAAAGCTTGGCAGGGGAGGAGGTGTGAGCCCGGCACTGCTTATGCTCCCTCCCCTGCCTCCCGTCCCGTCCCAGCGGTCAGCGGGCCTCGCCTACGGCCAGCTGCACCGGGGAGAGGGTTTCTATTTTGTTTCCCGATGCCCGGGCCTGAAACTAGTGTGTGCGTGTAAGGCGGGGGAAGGGAGAGGCAGCGAACAGCCCAGCGCCCCTCGCTTCTCACACATAGGGGAAAAAAAGAGGGAGAAAAAAGGTGGGCGGAGGGGAAGGAGAGTGGGAGCGAGCCCTGCAGAGAAGGGACCTCCCCAGCTTCAGCCCAGGAGGCCCGGCACCCCGCTGAGCTGCGCTATGCGGCCCCCGAGACGCCGCGGCCCGACGCCGCGCTCCGGCGGGCCGAAGCCAAGGTGGGGAGCGGGACGGGGGGCCGCGGGGCGCTCCTTGGGGCGGGCGGGCACCGGGTGCCAGGGGGCGGCGGGGCTGTTCCGAGCGCGGCAGGTCACTGACCGTCCTTTGTGCAGGTATTACGAGACGGGGAGCATCAAGCCTGGCGTGATCGGAGGGTCCAAACCCAAAGTAGCGACCCCCAAAGTAGTGGATAAAATCGCCGAGTACAAGAGACAAAACCCGACAATGTTCGCCTGGGAGATCCGGGACAGGTTACTGGCCGAGGGCATCTGCGACAACGACACGGTCCCCAGTGTCTCCTCCATAAACAGGTAAGGGCAACCCCGCAGCCCTTCTCGCGGCCCAATCGCCTCTTTACGGCCCCATAAACCCCCTATCAACAGCGCAGACAGCCTGACCCTTCCTCGGCCAGGTTAGATCCAGACTGCTCCAGCCCCCCGGCCCGCAGCGGGAGCGCTGGGCATGGCCCGCCAGACCCTGGCCCCGGCCTACCGGGTGCTGCCTGGCCCCGCCAGGAGCCCCGAGCCCAGGCCCGGGCAGCTGTGAAGCAGTTCTGCCCAGGGGCTCGCTGCTCCTGCCGCAGGGCTGCGGCTTGCGGCTCCCGCCCGGGCCGGGCAGGAGGCAGTGCGGCGGGAGCAGTAATCTCCCGGCCGAGCAACCGGCGGTGCCGCAAGGCCGGGGGGCATTTCGGGGTGACGGGTGCTGGAGCCAGGTTTTCCCCTGTCCCTTTTAACACCCCTCTCTGGAGGTCAGTGACCGCCAGCCTTGCCGCGGTATCAGGGCTCTGAACGAGCAGCTGCCCTTACCCGCTGCCAAGCCGTGCCTACAGCCCCGAGCCGCTGAGCGCTGGAGGGGGAAGGATTTCCTTGCACCCTCTCCCCCGTTTCACACCTCATCTCTATCCCGAGGGAACGGCTCGGCAGGCACAGTGGCCCCTTCTCCCGGCGGGGAGCGCTGCTCCCTGCGCTGCTGCGGCTCCGGCCGATCCCGGCCCTCGCAGCGCGCTAGGAAGCAGCAGAATCGATTCAGCCCTGGAGAACAATTTCCCCCCATGTTCTTTCCCAGATGTTAGGGTGCGACTTTTGCTGGTGGAGGGACTGGGATTTGGTCTCAGGTTTGAGGTGACAAAAATAACCATATGACAGGCAAAAAAAAAAAAAAAAAGGAGGGTCGATGGTGGAGAGAAAGGCCGGTGATAGCTGTAATTAGGTACTAACACACGGCAGGGCTGTCCACATGTCTGCACATGCAGACGCGGCATACATCGGATCTTCATACTCTGGCAACACATACACACAGTAAAAGTAATCACGCTGGTTTAGTGCAATGTAATGTACAGATACCTCGGCTATGCCCTCAGAAATACAACCTCCAGAAACAGAGTAACACAAGGGTATTTGCAAAAGGTACATACATAAGCATGGAATACCTCACCAACTGAGCAAGAACACACAAAAATTTGCATGCAATCCCAAATATACAGTGCTTCCCACTCAAATTAATGTATATGGGGTGTAGGTAAATATGCGCGCATGCTCTTGTAGTGTCCGCATAGATAAAACTGCACAAGTCAGTATATTGGCCCTTTTGATATATAACAAGTTTAGCCAGTTCTTTTTTTAAAACCTGGTGTATTTATAGCAAGGGAAGCAAAAATTAAATAGCCAGGAAAACACGGTGGTATTTTTGTCTTGCACTTTTCATGGCAGATTTATCAAAATATGTCTAATAACTCAGACTGTGTATTTCTAAATCTGGCATCCTATATAAATGGGTTTTAATATTTTGCAAATGATATGGAATTATCCCAAATCATCTTGAAAACAGCAGGTAGAATTAGCTAGTGGAATGTACCTTGGCTAAGAAAGATTCCCTCAGACATACTGTCTCTGTAATATACTGCTAGGCTACCCTAGGAAATTATCCCTGTGTGTGCCATCTGTATTAAAATGGTTATTAAGTTATGAACAGGGTAACATAATACTGATCGGCTAATTATACACCCTCCTAAAAAAACCTCCAGGTCTCTGTTACTCTCTCAGTCAGGTATTGAAATAATAACAGTTTGACATTCAGACACCTTACAAAGGCAGCTGTGGAAGGACAGCCAGCTATCCCTGAGAGGAATTCAGCTGGTGGTACAGAAGTCCAGAAGAATGGCTCTGGGCTCTTCAGAGGAAGAGCATATTACAGACCCAATGCATATGCATACTTCAGCCAGCTCAAGGGATGTTAGCAGCCAAATGTTGCTGAAGTCCCAGCCTCGTGACTGGGTTGCGATGTCCCAGGCAGAAGGCTGACTGCAGGTTTTGTTTCCACCTTTGCTACCAGTTTGTGGCTGGGCTTTGGGTTTCTGTACCTCAGTTTCCCCACCCTGTAACTGAAAACTGATCCTTCTCAGAAGCAGGTGGGAATAGATGTCAGATTGTGCTTATAAAATGCTTTGAGAAGGACAAGAACTTTGTAGCTACTAAGAGTTATTACATTGAAGAGGCTCAGCTGTGACCCACCATGTTTGAGTCATACTGTGATGGAATTTGAGTGTGTGGTCACCAAGGCACAAGAACATTTTGGCTTCCTATGAGTAAGTCTCCATTTCTTTTAAAAATTCAGGCCCCTGCTTTGTGTGGGGCTCCTCAAAACTCACATCTATGAGAAAGTGAGCCCATCATATCACAGGTCATAACGTTTGCAAGTCTGTGTGTCGTGGTGCTGAACCCAGGACACTATGCTAGGCAAGAACAGGACAGCGAACCAGGAAAAAATTCAGTGGAATAGGAAAGAGCAAGCATATAAGGGCCCAATCCTGGTGCCGCGGAGAGTAGTATGAGCTTCATCACTCCAGTGACTTTTGTGACTCCAGCTCACAAAAACCACAAAACACAAAGAGGGTCTAAGTTCATGATTTAAATACACATTTTCTCTCTCTCCCGTTGTCAAAATAGACATACAGAATTGGGTGAATCTCTTGTAACAGCACATCCCTTACCAGTACTATGATTATATATTGGAGTTAATCTAACACTCCAAGTCTCTGAGCAGTTTTGGATAGATGACAATTTAAAACCCCAACCTTCTAGAAATATCTGTCATCTTATTTTTGCAAAATATGGAATTTCCAAAGCAAAATCTGCATTGGTCCAGTGTCCAGAGCTATTACTGCTCATCTGCGAACGGTTTAACTTCTTGAAACCGTAAGTGAGGCATTTATGGAAATACAAGTTACCTGTGTCCTCAGATAGACCATGAATATTGTGCTTCAAAATGGAGATCCTTGTACACACTAACAAAATACTTTTGGTTATGCTAAGATTTTCTGAAAGTGTATTAATTACATTTTATTTTCTTTCTGGGGATCCATCTAACATTACTAAAGGCTTTCGGGACAGTGCCTGCAAAACAGCGCATTTTCAATTCCACTTTTAGAGTCTCCCTAAAACATTTAAAAAATCTATTTTCTATTAATTATTTTTGTGATATATAAATTCTGTGTGCCTGTGTTGCACTTATCTGCCAGTATTGCACTGAGAATATCAGGAAGCATTTGGGACTGCATGTAATTCAGTACTGAGATTTATCAAACACTTGCTCATACCAAACTCAGGCAGATAAAGGCTAGATGCAAACTCTAGTGAAAACCATGACTTAACTACCCTGTCAAGAGTCAGGAAAAAAAATTTAAGACTGCTATGCAGTAATTTTCCTTAATTATGGCAAAAAAGTCTAGAGAGTATACTACTTAATAAGCAAAGCACACCAGAACTGACAGGATCAAGAGAGAAGAGTTATCTCTGCACTGGGAGCTTTCCTGTTCCCACTTCATACATTTGATACGATACAGTATAAGCCTGTTGTGTGTGTGTAGGTACACACATGTATACACACATACATGCACTATGTAAACACACATATACATAGCGCATGCAATTGAGAAGCATGCAAGTGACAAGCACTTAATTCCCTGGTAAGCAATTCACGCTTACTTTAAATCACTTGAGCATCTTTCTTCTTGAGCACCCTGCCAAACCTTTCCATTTGTCATATGAATATAGTAAATGAGTTATCTTTGGTCACTTTGGGTTAGAATATTTCAACTGGACTTAGGCACTGCTGTGAGCCTTGTGGCAGTCTCCCAAGTATGAACTAGGAGGCAGAAGTTAGTGAGAATTTTCCCTTTGTTTTGCAGCATGTACAGTTAGTCTAAGAACACAGGTTTCCTGAGATAATAATCACCCCACAAAAATCTTTTGAATTAGGTGGTGTACTTTAGTGGGAACAGGATGGAACACATCATGACATGCGCTCACGGTTATGCAGCAAGTGATGCAATTGTAGTTTAAGCGTTATTTCCTGCTTCTTTTAAATTAATGAATTCTTTACAGAAGGGCAAACTCCCCCCACCCCCTCCACCCCAATTTGTCCTTCTATCTCAGCTCTCCTGTGGCTGGGTTCCGTCCTGGAGAGCCCCGGTTTGTCCTTATCCAAGGAATGTCAAAGCCAAAGTACTACGGAAGCCAGTCAGCTGAATTAATACACTTTGGACTCTGAGTTCCTGAGAGTAACCCTAATTAATACCCCACAACAGAGAATAGAGTTTAGTGGATATATTATCTCAGTCAAGCCGTTAGGTGTTTTTCAATCTTCACTTAGGTATTGGATATACATTAAATTTCTGGTGTTAAGTGCTTGGTTTGGGGAGATGTTTTTCTTTCATTATATAACAATCAGCTAATGATTCCTAGTTAAAGTCTCCGATAATGATGTGCTTTTTAAAAACACATGTGGGAAGACACACACACACACTGATTCAGGTTGTAATGACCAATGAAATATACTTGTACATTGAAGTGCTACTGCTCATGTGGCAAATTTGGTGGCTGTGGGCAGGACTGTAGTTTAGGGCAAAGAATGGCGTATGAGGAGAACGGATTTCTCTTACCACTAACTTTCTGGTTGATCTTGGGCTGGTCACACGGACTCCTTATGAGGCTGCTTTGCCAGCTGTAAAATAAAAATAACAGCATTTAGCTACCTTTGTAAAACTCAATGTGACTTTTCACTAAAAATGCCCATGGAGTTCAACATGTAATGAGAAAAGGTTCAAAACTGGGCCCAGGGTTGTTCTACATCAGCTGAGGTTCTAGCTCATGCAAGAATTGAACAGAACCTCAATTCAGGTAAACGTAACATCTCAAGACAATCAATTGAGTCTGGCAAAAAGCAAGTGATTTAGGGCAGGGGCTGTGTCACATGCGGAAGAAATCAATGTTATGCAAACAGCTTTCTGAGTCACTCTTGCTAGCCTCCCTTGAGAATTTTCCCAAAGGACACCCTGGCCAAAGTCACTTGTGAATTTCACCGTCTTTCCCACAAAAAAAAAAATGGAATTCCTGGGGGACAGGTAACGAGTCTAGGGAGAAGCTGAAAGAGTACAGAGTATCTCTAATAGCACCTTGTTCATAGGGACCAAAACCAGTGACAGCTGCGTGGCCCACAGTGAACACAGGGTGAATCACAGAGTTTTAAGTGGCAAGCATGTGTGCGTGTGCAAGTGTCACAAAAACTTACCACCACCATCAGTATTTAGTAGCTACAAGTCAGCTCAGTAGAGAGGCCAAGGATTAGACTGGCCATGTAGACTGGATTAGCCTCTGACTGACCATGTGTTTGTTGGTGTAAGGCAGGGGTGAAGAAAACTTGTCTGACACTACTCAACAGAGTTCAGCAGGCCTCATAACATGGCTCTTCCTAGCACACACAGAAGAAACTTGGGATGCTATCAGGATTCCTCTCCCTTAGCTGATGCTGAGTTTAAGGTTCCCATGCTGTTTTCTGTATCAGGGCACTCTCTCAAGGTACAACACCTCTACTGCCAGCTGCTCTCAGCTGAGCAAAGAAAGCGATCGGGTCACACAGGTCATCATTACAGGGAATATGCTCCTTTAAATTCAGATTCTTTTCCATCAGACACAAACCTGGCATTATCTTCTTTTTATCATTGCAAATAAAGGACAGGCTCATAAAGCAGAGGTTACAGACAATGTTACTGCAGCTGAAAGAGTAAATGAATGCTCACAGCATTTCTCTTTGTCTTATTCCTCATATCTGGCCACTGGAAGGTTGCATGGTGGGAACTACAATAAGCTAGACGCATTTTTTCTGGTTTTCATATTGCAGAGATATTAGCCCAACAGAGGTAGTTAGCAAGTAAAATTGGTTGTGCCTGGAAAGTTTTGAGCTTTCTGTTCTGTGAACCTTGAAGTTCAGAACCACATTGGTCCCTTTATCACCTGAAAATCCCAGCCCTTCTTTTTTGCATAGATGTACAGAAAGCTTGATTTTTGTTGGAAGTTAAACATTTTCAAGCTTTTGCATCTAGTGAGTGATCGCTGCATTCTGCCACAGAGGTAGCTGTATTTCAGTGCTGGGTGAGTGAGTGTTATGGAGCTAAACCTCATTTACCAGAATCGCTATTATGTAAAAAAACTCATTTGACTTTGGGAGAAAAGAAGAGAAAATATAAGTGGCTTGGCCAAGCAATGATGAAGTGGTGAGAACAATACAGTGATCTGAAGGACACAGTTCCTCTAACAGGAAAGGAATTATTAGTGTTTAAACAAAGCAGCATTGCCAGGAGTGAAGGGAGGGAAATAAGAAAGGAAACATTTAAATGGTAGCAGAAGGTATCCCCTGATAGGGATGTCCATTAAGTTGTGGAATTGCATCCCATAGGAATTCCTGATTTCTTGGAATATATATGGCATATATAGATGGCATTAATAACAAGCAAACATACAATAAGAAATAATCTTGTGTTGGCTAAAGAGATAGATAATGCTCTAGCAGACCAGCTGGACCATTTATGATATGATGACATGATGCATACAAAACAAAGTCATGTTTTCAGTTGTACATCAAATATCCTAGAAAACCTGTCTCTGATCCTAAAGCCCATTCAAACAAAAGATTTCCATATTACTTGAATAAAAAGGCATGACTTCTAAACAGTTGGACAAGGCTGAGCTTCGCTTATATTCCATGGTCTTCAAATTCAGGCATGTTGAAATTCAAATGGAGTTTAGGCTCTCTACTTACAGTTGGCAAAATACTCAGGGATCCCACTTTTAGGGAGGGTCTCTATAAATGCAAAGGTAGAGACTTCCAAAAGTGTTTGTCACTAGCCTGACATCTGCACAGCTAACTAGGGCTTTAGGAAATCCCATCTGTGTGTAAATGGCTCAGATGATGAATACTACTCATGAAAGCATCAGAGAGGTTTGATTTTTTCTCCAAAAAAAAATATTCTTTAAACAGAGAGCTAAGAGGAATGAGGATTTTTCCACTGTAATCCCAATTAATCTATTCGACCCCATACATGCATGGCCGTATTTACCATTCCCAACTGTTTAAAAATGCCAAGGCAGTGCCTAAATCATGCAATTGGCATAAAAATCACTAGTAGTTGTAATACAGTGTGGGTTTGTTTTTATTTGTTTTCTGTTTTCTACCCTAAATTTTAAAAGGGATTTGGATATCTGACTCCCATTAAACAATTTTAAAAACACCTTAACTACAGCCCTTTGAGTCTCCAGGGAGCTGACAGGCCCCTTTTCAAGCCCCCCCGAGCACTGGAACATACTTTATTAAATGAGAACTGAAATTCTCACGCTATCACTTGACTAGAGGAGCTGAAAAACCCACAACAAATACCGTTAGGCTTGTGATGAAATACTAGACAGTAGGATATTCAGCACTAGCCTCCAATTTTCTCTAGTGCCAGTAACTGAGAGCTGATTTTGTAGCACTTATATGGCTATCTACCCAGCTGAAAATCACAAATCTAATCACTCCGTTTCCAAACTCCTCAGAGTGCACTTACAAATATTCATTTCCAATCAATTTGCACCTGCTAATATTTCTCAACGCTCACATGTGATGACAGAGTCAGAAGCAATGCCAGTGCTTACTATTTCTATTGCAATAGCATAAAGAAGCTCTGTGCATAGATCGCAGCCCATTGTCCAAAACAGGCATGGCATAAATAGGAATTCCTTTCAAGAGGATCTTTTAGGAAATCTCTATATACACACATCTTTCTTTACACCATTGCCTTAGCTTCTACCGGGCTCATAATTCAGACAGTCCTCAAGGTTTCAGGGATCCTGAAACAAACATCTTTGTTGTAGGAAATGAGACATCTGGCCAGGGCTCACCCACCAAGCCCAAGTCTAGGTAAAAGGCAGAGCAAAACTGGAGAGCCCTTTTCTTTGGGCTCGTACCTGACAAGACAGAGGCTGAACACGAGCCAGACTGCAACGGCCTCCCCCCTCTTCCCCGATAAGTAGGCATATAAATAAATAAATAAACGGCATCCTAACTGCACTGAGAACTCAATAAAACAATCACATCAAATATGAGGAGGTATAAATCTCATGTCTGCACAGGTAACCCACTCAATTGCTTTTATTATGGCTCAGCCTGACTCCATTTATTACCATCCGTGGCCTGGGTGAAGGATGTTTGCATGGAGGGTGGTCTCCTGGTGAAATCCTATCCCTGAAGCAGTGACAATCAGCCCATATAGAGGTGGATTTTGGTGGGGAGACCAAAGGCAGATCCATCTGTCTGCATGAAAACCAATCAATAACCCTGTAACTAGACCCCTTGTCACTGGGAAATGGACAACACAATAGTTCAATCTGGAGCCACAGGAGAGGAATAGCTGTGGTAGAGGTGTGAAGAATGACAGGATGTGCACATGAAGTGTTTGAGACATATGGACAGAATATGTCTGTCCATATACACATTGAGAGGAAGTGATAGAGTAGGAGGAGCATAGAAGGTACATTTATATATATAGTAACCAAATCTGAAAAGTTGATGTGTTCAGAGGAGTGTATGGGGAAGGTAAAAGCAGAGTTATACTGCATTTTTTAATAGGACATTTATAGGAGGACTGTGAACACAATGCAGATAGGCGCCTTTGGGGAACTGTGCCTGATGGTTGGAGACTACACATGAGTGGATCAGTATATGGCAGGGAGTGTGTCTCTGGGTAGGTATGTAGACAGTGACACAAAATGCTGGTAGGCTAAAGGAAGCATATGTGGGAGTTTGATGTGGTTGGGGAAGGATATTCCTTTGTCTGGCTTGGGATTTATGTGTGTACTAGTTTTGACAGAGAGGAGGCAGAGTGATGTGCCAAAAGCCTGAATTAACAGACTGTGAGTTCACAGATAGGCTTCCCAGAGCATGCTATGTATGAAACATTTACCCAAACCTCACTGTTAAATCAGGAAGGGAGATTCTGGTGGCTTGTCTCTGCCTGTATGAAAAACAGGACATTTCTTGCTGCTGTCATCCCTTAGCTCTGCAGTTCCTGTAGCTTTTCTAAAATCTGCACAGCGTACTGATCCCCAGGCTTCTAGCAACTCCCCCAACACACGCACACATGCATACATACAGAGAAATGCTTGACTTTGCCTCTATTAATTGTTCCTGCCTGAGGCAAATTTAGTTTTTATTCTTTTGGCTCCATTTTGAACAGTTCCTCCTCCTTCCAAGATAAGCACCCTTCCATCTCTGCAGGGTCCAAGGCACAGGGTTAAACATCCATCTCTGGCTGGGAGGCAAATTACATCAGGAATTGCTATCAGCTCTGCTCAAAATGCCCATCACTGTAGTTCAGTTGAGAGGGTGGCATCCATGTTTTGCAAGACAGATTAATGTCTGTTCATTAGTTTATAAAAGGAAAAACAGAGACTCTGACGAGAAGACAAAATCACAAACGAAACCCTCACATACCTGTCAGACAGGACGCCCTGCACCACCTCTAGTTTCAGGGTAGTTTGGAGGGTTCCTGTAACAACCCAGTCCCTCTTTGGTCATGGACTTTTTCTAGCCCTTCAATTCCTCAACCTAGTCCTCGTTTTCTTCAAGCTGAGCTGAAATATGAGGGCAACCTCATTGCCCCACCGCCCATTTTCAAGCTTTCACTTAAA